CAGCAATTCTTCCTGTGGGAAACTGTAAGAAAACTTCTTGTAGCTTTATTGTCTTCAGAGAAGCTGTAGAACGGATAATGTTACAGGCATTTTTAATACAAAATTGTAGTAAGAATTCTTCAGATTCTGTCATCATAAGAGAGCGAAACAAGATCCTTCCTATCTAAGTATCAGAGAGGACAGGCAGGCTGACAAATGATTGTCCTGATTAAAGCAATGATGCCAGTGTGGGGTGTTGTTTGCACACAGGCTGTTTCCTTGTTTCCTTTGACTAAGCCTTTACTGACCTTTACAGCAGGCAAGAGCAATGCTTGCTTGAGGACAGCACACTTCATGTGAGCAATTCAAGGAAGCTGTAAAAGAACATGGATCCAGGCCCCAAGGCTTGGAAAAACCTCTGCTGTTGTACTGTTGTTGCATTACAGAAAAGCTGTAACCATTCACCTCAGCAAGGACACAGGTTTGTGCCCCCAGGATAATTGTGGTGCTCTTTCACCAGCCCACACAGAAGGTGCGTGGTCACCTTGTCCTCTGCTGTGGTGGCAAGGTCTGCCAAAACACAGAAGCACAGCAGAGACAAAGAAGATACTCTTTGTGTGGAGGTAGGAATCAGCTGGTACATGTGGAATACCTTCCTTTGCACTGGATCTCTGTTTTCTGCTAAATGCTTCAGCCGTGCAATTATCCGTGAGATTTCTCAGTTCCTCACCCAGGGGCACAGAAAGCATGAACTTTGCTTGTAACCAAATATTCTTTTTCCACACTAACCTTGTGCCAAGCACCAGTAGGATGCAAGAGACTACTCATAGGTATTTTTTGATAAAAACACATTACAGGAACATATAGATCACCTCTATACATCAGGTTGCGTGCATTATCTATTTTATATAATCAGCCATGACAGCTGATTATATAAAATAATATTTTCATTCCATAAAGCTACACTTACAATGTCACTAAAACGTTTACTGTTTGTTACATAAGAAAATAAAATACATGGTGTATTGGGGTCTCTTATGCATCCAGAGAGGAACAGTCTTCTCCCTTGCATCAGCATTTGTGAACTGGAAGGCTCCACTGTTGTGATAAAATTAAAGAGAAGTGGTTGTGCTATGCAGTGAGAGTCCCTAGTTTACCCTAATTTACTCTGTTTTGGATTGGCTGCTCCACAATTAGTATCATGGCATTTGTTTAAGATAAGACAGGAAAAGGGGCTATAGAGAAATAAAGTCATTAACTTTCAAACCCAGCAAAGGTGATACAAAATTATACCAACCAAGTGAAAAGTGGAAGAAATTTTTGTTGCTGCAGATCTTGTAAATCTCAAGTATGGAAATCTGTGTTGATAAGTGTAGGTAAGTGTTATATGAATGATGACTTGCCAAGTACACTGAACTGCTGTCACTATGCACAGATCCCATATGTGAAATGCTTAATACCCTCAGCTCCTAACACAACAAGTGGAAACAGAGAATTAGTAGAAATATATTCAAATATTTTAAAATTAAATGTAAAATTTGCCAATATTTAATCTGATCTTGTCTTCTCATTGTTCCCTGAAAAGTTTAAAGATCTACTTTGATTTTTTATTCCTTTGACATGGTATTTTGACACTTTACTACCTACCTAGCCTGTATGCTATTTGGATACATAGCTGAAATGTATCCAAAGTGCTGAAATGTATCTGATGTCCAGCATATAATAATTTTCTGTGGGGTAAGTGGAAAGTACATTGAATTTTTCCTTGAGAGACTTGCTCAAGGCATGGATCATATTTTCCTCTAGTTATAGTGAAGGTACAGCTAAAATTAAATTTTGTGCTTTACTTTAAGGTTAAAAAGCACATTAGAAGTAAATCATTAATTCAAAGCATCTCTGATCATTGCTATTAATAGCAAAGTAACTGATATATAGCAGAGATTACACACTTGAGTTCCTAAAATAAACTTGCTGTGAAAAAAAAAAAAGAAATAGCACTCATGCTAGTACAGTTGGTGAAGTACATTAGTACATTTCAAGGATCAGTAGGTTGAGTTCTTCCTTAGGATCCTAGTTGTGCAGGTGGAGGCATCTGCTCAGCCATGCAAGCTGGTAGGAACCCCACCAGATGCCTCTCTGCTCTGCCCAGGCTGTATCTCTGAGTCTGCTGATGAGCAGGAGCAGTTATCCAATATTTCCTCTTGGACCAAGGGTTTGTGATTACTTGTGAGGCAAGTAATGTGTGCTATTTCATAATCTATTAATTTTCCCTGAAGGGACCTGCAACTGGAAATGAGTTCTGTTATGAAATGTTGATACATTTCCTTCTCAGGATGAATGGAAAGATTAAGGGGAAATTCTCTTTCCCCAAGTTCATCTTTTCCCATTTAACCTGCACTTGCACCACATCCATGCAGCACAGCCCTGGGAGTCTGTAAAACTATGACTTCTGTTTCAACTGATTCAATTTAAAATAAAGATAACTTTCAGTTTTAGATAAAAATAATTTCAATTGGAATTAGATAACTTGTCTTACACTGAAACACTGCTTTTCCTATTAACAGTTCTATTGAACTCAATGGGCTTGAATTTATGGTGTAAGAAATCACTCAACATGATGAAACATTGCAATATCAGACTTTACTGTAGCAGACACTTTTGTTTTGTATTTACAGGGATCCCGCCCAGTAGGCATCTTGTCCTTAGGAGGAGCTCTTAAGCATATTGCCAGACAACAAACTACCAATAACAAATAGTTACAACATCAAAGGTACACTAGTATAACACCAGCAGAACACTATGCTGGCATCACAGGACTTCTAGTTTTCCCCAAGGTAGATATGCAGGCACTTTAGCATCTATAGTACCTCTCTAGTAAATCATGACATGAAAATCTCATTCAAGTGTCTAAGAAAATACACTTGAGAACACTAAACCAATACTTTAAGCTACTCTTGCTACCCATTTTTTTGTGGTAAAGCTCCTAACTACTTGATCTTGCTGTCTGTGCAAGTACTGCCACTCATTCTTCTAGCCAGAGGTACCTTAAATAGTCATGAACTAAGAACCACAAAAAGGCTCAGTTTCCTTGAAAAGCTATAAAGAATCCCTGTATTGTTCTTCCCCTCTGTTACAGAGTGATGGGAAATAGTCACTTCAGAATCTCAAGTGTAAACTCCAGGAAAAAAAAATCACAGGAAGTGGAGATGATCACTTTAAATCAAAATCATCATGCATTTGCCAAGAAGATGTAACACTTAAGACATTATCAACCCAGAAGAGTAAAGAAACAGGAAAATTCATACTTCAAGCAGATGGCTTTTCCTTGCCAAACAGCATTTCAGAGCACTGCCTAATTAGGTATCTCCCATCACCCACATGCCCTTCAGACGCACAGTTTGGCATGCAGCTTCTTGCTGTCACTAAGCACCAGTTTTCTCTAGGATATATTGGCTTGCATTTCCCAGGGTCAATCTCAGTGAATTCCCTACCCAAGTTTGTAACCACTCTTTGATAATTGGTATTGCTTCTCTGACTTAATGGCTTAGGCACATCTGAATCCTCCCTTCTCATGGTATTTCCACAACACTTTGCTTTCCGAAACAACATGGAATGGATCATCACTTCTCTTTCATCATGTTGCCAGTCCACATATCACGTGTAATACAATAAAAATTTATTCACTTGTATGATTTAATGAGATTCTTTAACGTTTTTATTACTAAGATGTAAACATAATTTATGATTTGGGTAATGTCTGAAAAAAACAAGCTACTCTAGTAAGTTTATTTTTCAGACACTGAAGCTGTTTCATCATTTATGGCTTCACATATGCTCAAGGAGTTCAATCCTACCTCCTCTACTTACCCAAATAGTTCCAGGAGTATGGATTGTGAGAATGGACAGAATTCAAGGCCTCTAATAAAGAACAAGTGATTTTTCAGTTATGATTATGCTATATTAATGGTTTGACAACTATGAGTTGCACATTAAGCCTGTGCATTAAAATGTGACACAAAGCACCTCCTTTCCCTCCCTAAATCTGTAACAGAAAGAAATCAAGAAAATGTTACCACTGAAACAAGTAAACCTCAGAATTCAGTCCCAAAAGGGTTTGACCAGCCTTTTTTTTCAGTGTGACTGTTGCACATACAAACTAAACCCCTGGAGATGCTAATTCTACCTCTGACTGGGACACTGTCTCATTTACAGTTTCCTACTATTTTTTTTAATCTGACTTGTAGGGGTAGCTTATGTTTTGCAATGAGACTACGTTGATAAGGAATCTCTTCTTGTAGCTTACGGGGCCACAAGTTACGTAACAGTACCTTGCTGTGCTTTAATGTCTTCTCAGCGGCTCAGTGTTATCATGGGCTAAATCAAATGAATATTTAACAGGGCCAGGCCACACTGAAAATAGTTTCCAGCTGGGAAAATCTAAACTGAGTGACTGACTGAATGTGTAGTTAGTTAATAGTCAGGTACAGATTTGTGCTTATTTCTACAAAGGGTCTTAATAGTACAGCTTGATGAAGTAAACAAAATAAAAGAAATAAAACCAAAACCACTCGTTGTGCTTCCTGTAGGTTATGTCTGTGTTAAGTATTACTCCTAGTGCTTATAAAAGTTTAGTCCCTCGCCCAGGATAAGCCGGGGCTGCAGCATATGCCATTGAAGTTTAACACCGAGCTCTCCTGTTACAGAATGTTTTCTTTTCTCGGCTGAGGGTCCGCAGTGCTGCAGGCAGGGGCAGCTGCCGGTCGCACCCGTTTCCTTCTCCCGGGGAGACGAGCGTGGAGCCCGGGGACGGCGGCCGGGCAGCTGCTCGCCCTGGGCGGCTCGACCCCCCCGCCGAGCCCCGCAGCGCGGCCAACGCCGCCGGCCCGCCCCGGGCCGCGCCCTCAAAAGGGGCACGGGCCGGAGGAGCGGCGGCACTGGCACCGGGCAGCACCGAGGGCTGCTCGGGGAGCCGGCGGGGCCGCACCTCGAACAGCGCCGGGCGCCCGTGCTCCGCTCGGCCCGACGGCCGCGGCGGGCCCTCACCGTGACCGTGACCGCCACCGCCCTCCCCACGACGCCAGGGCCCGAGGGCACCATGACCCTGCTCAAGCTGTCCCTCATGGCCTTCAGCTTCGTCTTCTGGGCAGCGGGGCTGACCATGCTCATCATCGGCCTCTGGGCCAAGGTGTCTCTGGGCAGTTACTTGGCGCTGTCGGCCAGCGACTACCCCAGCGCCCCCGCCATCCTCCTGGCCACCGGCGTCGCTGTCATCATCTGGGGCTTCCTGGGATGCTTCGGCGCCGCTACGGAGCACCGGGGACTCCTGCGCGCCTACAGCGCGTTCCTGGCCGCCGTGCTGGCGGCCGGGCTGGCGGCCGGGCTCTCGGCGCTCCTGTACCGCCGGACGCTGGCGCAGGGCTTCCAGGCGGGGCTGCGCCGGGCGCTGCTGGCCTACGGGCAGGACGACGGCGTGGCGGACGCCCTGGACGCGCTGCAGCGCGCCTTGTCCTGCTGCGGTGTGGAGAGCTACCGCGACTGGCTGGCCTCTCCCTGGGGGCTGGAGCAGAACGGCTCGGTGCCCCTCAGCTGCTGCCGGGCCCGCCGCGGCTGCCAGAGCAGCCCGCCCGACGCGCGCAGCCTGCACCGCCACGGCTGCTTCGGCTCCGTGGCCGCCTTCGTCGGCAGCAACATGTTTTATGTTGCCAACGCTGCCCTGGGGCTGGCGCTGCTGCAGCTCGTCGGTATCGTGCTGGCCTGCCTGCTGGCTGCCCGCGTCCCTGCCCACCTGCTGGGCATCACCACCCCTCGCTGAGATCCCCCGCTTCTGCCCCTTGTCCCCTCCAGTTCCCTTCTTTCCCACATAACTGAGTATATCCCACTGGGAATATCCTTCCTTCAGATTCACCATTTCCACTTGAGCGTCCTTCTCCAGGCTCCATTCGTCTGGAGGCTGTGTTAGGTGTGCTGTGAGCACCTCAAGCCCTTCAGAGGGGAAGGTGCTGGGAAGGTGCCTGCTGGCCTGGACACGCGTCCTGCAGGGCAGCAGGTCCCCACTGGAGCCTCCGGACCACTTCGGCAGGGAGTGGTGGCTGCATGGTCACTCTCTGAGGCAGCAGGGACATCTGAGGCAAGGCTGACTGATTTTCTGGGTGGTGTACACACCAAGGCACCTAAACGTAGACCAGGAAAGAGTAGAAGATGTAGGAGAGCAAGAGAGGTGTCTCTTGACATTACACCATGTAAGTTTTCTTCTGAGACTGGAAAGTGATGTTACTGATAAACTGCTGGAGTGCACGAGGGGCAGACCTGGTCCAGGGGCACACAGACAGCCATGCCAGCAGCTGGCCCTGGGAGCTGCTTGAGGGACTGCCCAGCATCGTGCATCCCGTTGCCACAGATATCCTACCTTCGGGTGCGTTTTCTGCTGTTGGTATTTCCAATGCCGATTTCTATCTAAAGGTGGAGCTGCAGCTCTAAGTGTTACTCCCTCCTTCAGGATATGCCTGTCCTCTTAGCCAGTGTGTGGCTGGTTATATATATCTTTGCAGGGCTGAAAAGACCTAAAACCTTGTCGTACAAGAAGATGGCAAAAGCTGTACGATCAGATCTGCTGAGGGGTGGCAAGTGGAGAGAAGGTTCGTTGCCCTTCAGAAGTTTGCTTTGAACTTTTACTATTAATATCAGGATAAATGGAACAGGCTGACTGTTTTATAGAAGTGTTTCTAAAAATCAGCCCTCAGACTCTTAACATTTTTCCTCTCTCAAAGGATCTGTCTCTGAAGTGTGCCCCCACCTACATTTTTGAAGCCAGACCTGTGTACAACCTGAGAGTAAATGGAGAATCCCCAAGACTTGTTGTGTATCTCTGGGTGTATTCAGGTCAGACAGCAATATAAATCTACAAGAATTTGGGGTTTTTTTTGTGACAGAGCTGGGTTTGCATTTGGAGTTTGAGGAAAAGCAAGCCATGGACTTCAGAGAGTCCTGAACTTTCAGAACTTAACTCCGGCTTGTTTCCACTTCCTTAAAACCTGTGAACTCTACTTTTATGTGTTCTCTACCTCGCAGCACAAAGACATGCCCACCTTAACCAGCAAACAGGGGAGGAATGATTTCAGAAAAGAATCAAAGAACCACAAAGGAACTCCAGAACATGGCATCTCTTAGGAACGTGACTTGCAAAGCTGTGGAGAATGGTCAAATGAGTAAAGAAGATGACTGGTAGCTTCATGGGAGGAGTGGAGCAACTTTGGGGGAAAGGCTTTCTTTCATGTATTAGGTGGCTGTTTAGCTATGATAATTGTGTTCCAGGTTAACAGTGTAGTGTGAACAGTCTTTGCAGTCATTTGGGTATTCACCTGCATAGGTGGACTCTGGAAATGTGTTAGGAATCTCTGTAGGCAAAACAGTGCTTTATTTTTGAGGGCTGATGTTTATTATTTTACAAAAATATATTTTTTATTTTTGCTTGTAAATGTCTCTGCATTTTTTTTTTTAGTTATGTGATAGTGGAACTCCTTTTATTTCCTGGAAGTCAAGATGATGTTGTACAATTTTAACAATGGGCAAAAAGTATAGTTTGTATGGTAAATGGTACTTGAGAAATAAAGTTTGGCAGCTGCTAAGAGCAAAACAGGTCACTGTGTCAGCTTGGAGTATTTGCATTGCTGTATGTCTACACTTGCAACTAAATGCAAGTGAAATGAAGTTTACATTGAAATGTAGAGACAGAAGCATGTTGCGAGTTTTAAAAATTATTATTCAAAAGATCCATTATAGATGAAATAAAACAGGCATTATAGAGACTGTGGGAAAGGGGCATGGAATTGCACTGGCTTTATAAAAAGATCTTCTATATTTGAGTTAATAAGCTCTGAAAATTTACAAGAATATGACATTGCTCTATTTTTACTTTACTGATGACTAAAATTATTTCTGATTTTGACCCTTGTTGCTTTATGTGACACATAGTAGTCAGTAAAAATGAAGTACTCTGTTAAAACACATTCAAACATAGTGTAAATATGCACTTCAGTGAATTTGTTTTGGTTTTAAGTTGCTAAGAGTATCAAAATAGGAGTAAGAGCAAGTTTGAAACGTACCAGTGTATGTTTGTATGGTGATTGGGTCTGAATCTGGGACATCAGCTGAATGTAATAAATAATTAAAAAATGTAAACCATCACTCTGCACTCTTGGCCTCACTAAAATAGGATAAACCTTGGCAATGACCGCATAAATGCTGAATATATTTATATCACCAAAGATTCAATGAACTGGCTGTGTGTGTTTATTGAATATGTATTGCCAGTTCCTAGAATTAACAACGTTAACTTTTGTAATTGTGAGAAAGAAATGTCATTCTTCTCTAAATAATTTCCAGATTAAGAGATTCCCAGTAGCTGTTTCAATTGTCTGGAATTCTTTGTGCTCAGTAACCAGATCTTACTTTAAGTTTTAAAATTTATCTGGATTCAAGGTTCATTTTGTTCTACATGGTCAAAATGTCTGTAACTGGAAAATATTACAGGGGACAGTACCATCTATCCCTTGCTGGAATATGTGTTTGTTTTCTGTCTCCACTTTAAAGTCACTCATCAAAATAGAATATTTTAATAAAAGATCATACCATTTCTTACAAAAGGCTAATATAAATTCTAACATACTGGCTATTCAAATCAAGGAGCAATTTGTGTTGCAGTTGTAGAAACAACAGCTCTGTTGTTTGGACAAAGTAATATTTAGGATTAACAGGGTGCTAAGATTAGACCCTTGTTATGAAACAAGGACTATTTTATAATGCTGATCTAGAATGCCAAGAATATAAATCTTTCAAACTTCAAAAGTGCTTTGATATTTCATCCAATATGAATTATTTGCTGTAGCTAAACTTCGTGTTACAGAAAACCAGAACTAAAAATGGCCTTTATAACAGATGATTTTTTAAGTAATAAGAGGTGAATTTTAAAGTAAGAGATGATATTCTGGGGTTAGAAAACTTAAACAGTTGGCCTTCCAACATGTGCATAGTTTATTTTTGGGGATGCCACTGTTCACTTTGTGCAACTTGAAAAGTTAATGACAGTCACATTGTTTCCTTGAAGTTTAAGCTTTTCAGGATGATACTGTGGAGAGACATTCAAAGCAAACTAGACTGCAAACAACCTAGTGGTAGGATCTCCTGTGATTCTTCTGTTTCCTTCTGTTTCAGTCTTTGTAGGGTAAGCCTTTTGACAGCAGTAGTGAATATTTCATTGGTCGTGCACCCATTGTGCTTCAACATGGTAAAAATACATATTTCTACTCAACTCTATGTGATTCAAACCCGCAGATTTCACTTTGTTCAATGTGCCATTTTAATTTGCTGAGAAATTGCTTAAAATATCACAATTTAATCCTGCTTTGTTGTGCCCTCTACTGCAACATCTACTCTCTGGGCCAGTAAAATGCAAATATCCAAGGATTTAGTGTCCCATGTCATCAAATAGAACACCATCACACATATTCTTCAGAGGGATATTGCTCAAATATATGGATTTGCTTGTGGATGAGACAGAAAAAAAGAAGCAAACTAAGGAACATATTCTGTCCTTCATATTACCTTTGATTTGCAATTGACACACAGTACTCTGTTGTAAGGAGGAAATCTTTTGTTTATGCTTTTAAATCTACAAAATAGAATTTATTAGAGTATTTTATCTGGGCTACAGAATTAAAATTATCAAATTAAACTTTATTTAAAATGCTCTAATTCTATAAAGATCTCTCTAATCTGCTTGAAATGGTTTCTCTGCAGCTTTGCTTCTCCTGTGCACTCATTCTCCTCATGTCTAGAGTCACTCTAAGGTTGGCTAAGTTTTGAGTTAAGTAGTGTTTGAAGCTTCAATCTTAGACTATTCCCATTTTGTAGATGTTATCCCTGGTTTATCATATTAGGGTACTCAGACTAATTATGACACATTACATATGTATATATACACATATATATGTATATATACATACATATATATGTGTGTGTGTGTGTGTATATATATATATATATATATATGTACTCAGATACATTATGAATATAACGTTGGTATTTGTTGGTTTTGAACAGTATCTTGAGTCTTAGGCAAGGCCACAACAAAATAAAGGGAATTGCAATGCTCATATTGACCAAGACAGACAACTCCTTGGGACTGACGATTCTTGAAACACTATCACATGCCACCCTAACAGTACAACAAATAGATCAAATACTACTTGGTAATTAATGTTTCTAATTTTCCCAAAAAAATGGTTCTACAGCTTTTCTCTGTCTTCGATGAGATGAATCATCTTAAGGTATCAGCACTTTAGAGCAGTGGTGTGGTCTCAAAACCTAAGAAAAGGAATCTTTCATGCTTAGTGTTAATAATTTCAGATAGCTTTACTTCTTCCAGGTCACAGAGATGGGGTGCTGAGAGTATCTCTGGTCACTTCTAGGACTGACTGGAGGGTTGGTATTGAGAATATATTGGTTAAAATGTCAGCATCAATAACAGTAGTTCTACTGCTTTACTGCTGTTCTGAGGGCATGTTCCTGGGCTGTTCCTCTGCTTTTGGTTTCTTGGCTTGGCAGACAGCACTGTGTAGTGTGCCAAGAGCCACCTCTAGGACAAGATCCTCTTCTCAGTAGTTGTGCTAGAGTCCTATGCCGTGTTCCTTGCCGGAGTGTACTGGTGTCCCAGTAGTCCCAGGTACTGCCATTCTTGCCTAGAAACTCTCGGAAGAGGTGAGGTTGGAGGCTTGTCAGATGCAGAAGCACCTTGAGTTTCAGTACAGAGTTCAGGAAAAATAATCATGTAGGTAACGCACAAATCCAACAGCTAAATATACTTATCTCATAATTTGGAAAAGGTTGTTCACTGAAACTGGTAAAGAAAACATCAGAATAACTAAGGTATAAGCAGAATTGAAAACTCATTAATATCGCAAATTTTCCCACCAGTGTGGCATGTTCACACTTTCTTATCCATTTTGCCCTTCCACCTACCTCTAATTCTACTTATTCCCAGAGTGTAATTGTCTGTAATCTCAGTTATTAGTTTTCTGCTACCTTATGGGCTCCCTTGAACAAATTCCTTTATTTTCTAGCTTCCCACTCCAAGGTCAGGCAGTCCTTCAAAGTTTGAGCTCCTTGTTGGAGAGGTTTTTGAAAAGAAGCCTTTTGATTTGCCTGTTTTAGTAACAGCACTTTTCTAGCAATAGTAGTTTATAATGATATGAAAAATTTGGCAGAAAGTCATAATTAAACAATAATTTCAGATAGCTATTTTTCAATTAGGTATTTGTTTCTTAGCTAAGCAACACTCCCTCTCCACTCCCCTTGCCTATATTATCATTGTATTGTTGCTGTTGTTTTGTTAAAATTATAATATTCTGGGAAACTTAGGCAGAAGATAAACGAGGTTTTTACATGGAAATAAGTGGGTTTTGATCAGCTCTAGTGATTACATTAATAATTTAATTAATAAAGTTTAGAAGGTATCACTGAGCAAACTCATCAGAAAATAAATGTGCTATCAGATACTTAATGGAGAAAAAATGAAGGTCCCATAAAACAAGTCTCATGGCTTAAAAGAAGAGTACAGATAATTTAAAGTCCCCTGATAGAGGGCATTGGGACATACACATGGTTCATACAGCTGACAAGTAGAAATGAAGATGTGAGTGCTGTTTCAAAGTCAGCTTTCTAGCATATGTTTTATATGTCATGCTTCTAGTGTGTCAGGGATGTCATCATTTATTTCCATTCTATATGATGTTCCTTGTGTGCTTATGACATTCACATTTATTTCTTACTAAATTTTTGCCTTAAGACACTCTTCATGCTCTTTTCCATTTGCATGGGGCTCAGCAGTGATGTTGAAGAACCATTCTGTCCCTCATGGTGAATCCAGTAAGATTTCTCCTGTGCTTCCTACATATTTCACCCCTAAAAAAGGACATCACTGTTTTTCTCTGAGCCTGTACTGTTCAATGTCTTGTTTGTTTCTAGTTTATAACACAAAACACAGATTAATCAGCTTGTCCACAGAGACTATAATAAAAAAATTGCTTCCCTTTAAGCATTTATTTTTCAGAGTTTGCTCAATTGTACCATCTAAGCTTCATTAAAGTAATTCTCCTGCTGCTGCTTCTTCTCCAGCTTTTAATTATGACATTATTGTACAGTGGTCAGGTCCTTAGTTCCCATTTTTGGGAACTTATTTTTTTTTTGTTCTTCCCTCTTGGCTTTTATAATATGATTTCTATCCTATATTTACATGTTTTTAAGGTATGCTCTTTTGCCTCAAATGAGATTTAAAAAATCTTTGACACCCTCTTCTCCCGTGCAACAGCAAGAGGATGAGAGGAAAGGGCCTCAGATTGCAGCAGGGGAGATTTAAATTGGATATTAGGAAAAATTTATACACCAAAAGGTTGGTTGAGCATTGGAACAGTCTTACCAGGGAAGTGGTTGAGTTGCCATCCTTGGGGGTGTTTAATAGACATGTAGATGTGGCACTCAGGGACATGGCTTAATGGTGGCCTTGGCAGTGCTGGGTTAATGGTGGGATTTGATGATCTTAAAGAAGACCATCCCATCTGCTGGCTGCAGGCAGACCTCACAGTCCATCTCATCACAGCTCCCAAATCCCTGCTGGTTTATGCAGGGACTGTGGAAGTAGTGTGCTCAGCCTGTGGTGCTGTGTTTCTGTAGTCCATGCAGTTTCCTACAGGACAGGTCAGTGCAATGTTATCTGAGCTGTGCTGGCACCGTGCTGTAGGGGCTGTTTGCTCACATGGGTGAGCACAGCTCAGGAGTAAAGAGCTAAAGTAAAATGGGAATGTTACCTGAGGGTATCAATTCATCAAAGTGTAGATTCTAGAGATAAGAAGGAAACATTAAATCGTTCTCCTTGGGATTACTTTTGAAGGCTCTGGAAGTTTATTCCATTCTCAAATTTGCAGAAAAAGACCTGGCAGCTGTGGAGGTTGGGTGAAAAAGACTCAGCAGGATGCTCTTGCGACAAAGGTAGCCAACCACATTCTGGGCTGTAGACAGCAGGATCAAAGAAAATATTAATTCTTTTTCTCTGGCACTCATGAGGTTTTGTTGGGACCAATGTGCCCAGTTTTGGACAAGATAAAGTTGATAAAATGTGACTTATCTGGCCC